TTATACCATTGTTATTTTGGATTTTCCCTTAGGTGTACCCAACCTAGCCCTAGCTCGTAGAAGCTCAGAGCTCTCAGCCATCCAAATTCTTCCATATGTAAGCACCCCAGCATGTCCCTCTTCCAAACAATGCTCTAGTTCTCACAGAGGATGGAGTGACAGCAAACTTTGCATTTGTTTCTTTCCTTCTCACTTTCAGCTGTCTACACCACCTCCCAATCCATTAGTACCTCATTCCCTTCAGACTCACGTTGGACAGTCCCCCAAGTCTGTGTTCTCAATGAACACTTCATTCCAGATAACCGCTAGTAATAAACGGATGAGCTAATTTGCCACTAAGTGCCACCCTATCTCTGGATTTTCATTGCCTTTCGTCCCCATCAGACACCACAACCATTCCTAGATTCCAGCTATTTCTCTGAGAGTCTGATGCCTTCAGTCCATCTAGCACCAATTTATATATTAGAGTCATTAGTTACAAGCAACAAAACCCAACACCATCTTATTTAACCAAAAAAAATGTATTAACTGCATAAAAGATATTAGGTATCTCGGAGAATTACAGGAACAACAAGAGAACCAGATAGAAAGCCACACATGAAACCAGAACAATGCTCCAAATTAAGCTGCAGGGTTTTCTCCAGGAGGACAATGCTACCACCACTGCCCCTTCCTGCTGCCAAGAGCAAGCTCTGTAGGGTCTCTGCTCCCTCTAGAACGAGGTCTTACTACAACCCCATTGTCCCTGGAGGGAGTTTGTAGGGTCTCTGAATCCTCACTTCCTTAGCTATAGATTTCTTAACTTAGTCTGTGATCTGTGCACAGGATTGGCTAAGACAAGACCAAATGTCTACACCACACCCTGGTTGTGAGGGAAGTTCAGAAGACAAGTATCTGGCATCTATTAGATGGGGAATTTCCCTAACTTAGAAGTGGTTTCAGGTGCCAGATGCCAAAAAAAGAAAAAGAAATGTTGACCCTTACTGTCAGGCCAGGGTGCCAAGCGGGGACTGGAAGAGTCACAGGTCATTAATTCCTCTAGATCACCCCAGATATTCCCATTTCATCTACCAGGCATTCCCCCTTTCCTAATCAACCCATTCACTTTGGGGTGTGCACAGAACCTGCCTGCAGCCAGTCTGCAAAGCAAATGATTATTCCCCTGCAGCCGCCTGGGATTGCGGGCCCCAGGCAGAGGAGGCCCCACCAGAGCTACAGATCGTCATACTGCTTGTCCTGTGCTTGTCCCTCCCTGGAAGCATCTTCCTGGGGTTGCCAGCTATAGACAATGTGCTCCAATATTTTGCCATGTTCCCCCTGAATCCTCTGAAGCTGCAACCACGGGGCAGGGACAGGGGAGGTTGTTCTAAAACACAGCATGCAGTGGTTTCCCTGGCTGCTTCGGTTGCCACCTAACAAGAACTGCTCACTTCCCGACTCAGGCTGGAGGGACTCTCACTGTATGCTGTCCTCAGCATCAACAGGGCCAGGTCCATGGTTTAGGTTCTGCCATGTGCATCACTCCACACCTTGTACTGATTTTTTAATTGCGATTCCTTTGTTTGGAAGTGACAGAAATCCAACTTGAACTAGATTAAACATAAAGAAGAATGTGTTGGGTAATAAAATCTAATAGGGGCTGAACAACTAATTTGCAAAAAAAGCAAGGATGTCTCAAGGATAACTGGAACTAGGGACTTAAATCCTAATAGATATCTGCTTTCTTCACTGAAGAGCACCTTTCTTTTCTTCATGATGGAGAATATGCCTGCAGACAGTTCCTGAACTTCATATTTATAGCGTTCACCATTCAAAAAAGAATGACTTGGGCCAGGTGTGGTGGTCCACACCTGTAATCCCAGGGAACTGGGAGATAGGCAGGAGGATCACTTGAGCCCAGAAGTTTGAGACCAGCCTGGGCAACATAGTAAGACTTTACAGAAAAAAATTTTTTTAATTAGGTGGCTGTGGTGACACATGCCTGTAGTGCCAGCTACTTGGGAGGCTGAGGCAGGAGGATGCCTTGAGCACAGGAAGTCAAGGCAGCAATGAGCTATGATTGTGCCACTGAACTCACTTGGGTTCAGCAAGACTCTTGTTTCTTAAAAAGCAAAAACAAAAGAATGACTTGTTTCCAAGTTCAAATAAGAAAAAAATAGTAAGGAAAGGTTTTACTGACCCATCTTTGAAAGGGATCCACACCTGGACGGATTATGACTGAGGGCAGGATTGTGTAAAAGCAGTGGTCCCTGGGTAGCCATCTAGATGGGCCTGACAGTTCCCAGGAGGGAAGAACGGTGCTGGATGAGTGCTCCATAATTGTTCACTATGGCAGCCCATTGGCAGGTTCTTTCCCATGCACAATAACCTGGTGTCTTAGTCTGTTCTCACACTGCTGAGAAAGACATATCCAAGACTGGGTAATATATAAAGGAAAGAGAATTTTTTTTTTTCTTTTGAGATGGGGCTTCACTCTGTTGCCCAGGCTGGAGTACAGTGGCATGATCTCAGCTCACTGCAACCTCCGCCTCCCCAGTTCCAGCGATTCTCCTGCCTCAGGCTCCTGAGTAGCTGGGACTACAGGCATGCACCACCACACCCAGTTAATTTTTGTATTTTTTAGTAGAGACGGGGTTTCACCTTGTTGGCCAGGCTGGTCTCAAACTCCTGACCTCAGGTGATCCACCTGTCTCAGCCTCCCAAAGTGCTGGGATTATAGGTGTGAGCCACGCCACCTGGCCAGGAAAGAAGTTTAATGGACTCAGTTCCACACGGCTGGGGAGTCCTCACAATCACAGCGGAAGGCAAATGAGGAGCAAAGTCACATCTTACATTCCGGCAGACAGGAGCGCTTGTGCAGGGGAACTCCCATTTATAAAACCATCAGATCTCGTGAGACTTATTCACTACCATGAGAACAGCAGAGGAAAGACCCACCCCCATGATTTTATTACCTCCCATTGGGTCCCTCCCACAACATGTGGGAATTATGGGAGCTACAATTCAAGATGAGATTTGGGTAGGGACACAGCCAAACCATATCACCTGGATAAGCTTGTCAGTGCCTGGCAAGGTTGGTTGGGTCAAACTTTGTTTTTTCTTTCACCTTTTTAAAGGAGTCAACAAAACTTCTCTGTACTATTCTCTTACACAAACAACTAAGATATTCTAAAGGAAAATCCCCCTTCTCCCCAGATAAGTTCCCATGTGCCCACCAGACTGGGAGATCCTTAAAGAAAGCATCCAGATTAATATATTCCCATGTGTCTAGTGCCTCATGAGAGTCCATCATGGATTGAACACTCAAAAAATGTTTGTAGAGTGTGGCCAAGCATGGTGGCTCACGCCTGTAATCCCAGCACTTTGGGAGGCCGAGGTGGGTGGATCACCTGAGGTCAGGAGTTCGAGGCCAGCCTGGCCAAAGTGGTGAAACCCCATCTCTACTAAAAATACAAAAAATAAAAAAAATAACCGGCCATTGTGGTGGTCACCAGTAATCCCAGCTACTCGGGAGGCTGAGGCAAGAGAATCGCTTGAACCCAGGAGTCAGAGGTTGCAGTAAACTGAGATCATGCCATTGCACTCCAGCCTGGGTGACAGAATGAGACTCTATCTCAAAAAACAAATGTTTGTAAAACTGGATTAAGGTCTTTCCTCATTCTTTAGGGATGCCTGGTGGCTGGCCATTTGGGAGCCTGGAAAGCCTTGATGCTAGAAGCTAAGGACAAAAAGCCAAATGAGTGGAAGACTGTGTGACCTAAGGTACTGGTGGGGAGAATGGTCAGCAAGGGTTGTCTTCAGACAGATGAGCAAAAGACTGTGGGTTCTGACAGAAAGGGCAGGATCATATACAGTAGATGTGTTTGCCTCCCACTCTCCCTGGACAGATAGTCCCAGCAGCAGAGAATAAGGATTTGGAATATGGCTGCTTATGGATTTGGTAAATAGGGGTGAAAGGAGATCTTGTCCTTAAGCAGGACCAGACAATGTGTTAACTTTTCACTGATAGAGAAGTTTCATGACTTAATAGAAGTTAGATTGGACATCTGATCAAGCTCAGCTTCCAATCATAATTGAATAACGATGACACTGAAGACATTGCTTCAGAGGGTACAAAGATGCATTTCGATGGTAGGAAGGAGCCGCTGCTGCATACGCCACCCCCAGAGGAGAGGAGGGCTGGCAGGAGTGTGTTGGGGTAAGAAGCCAGTGTGGTGGCCACACTCTGAGGACAGGATATTCTTGGGGAATGGGTCTTTCCTCAACTGCTTCCACTGCCTGAGCTCACAGACTAAGTTAATGTCAGAGCAAGGACCAGAGTAGAAGATCCAGGACAGTCCCCACTGTACTTGTGCCCAGGATCCTCTTGGATGCCACTCCTTCTGTGGGGACTCCTCCTCTGACACATACTCATTGGTTTTACTTTTACTCTTTCTATAGGACCCCTTACTGGGCCTTGGTCTCTCCATTTACAAAATTGAAGGCCTTAGGCTGGGTAACTCTGCAGGGCCCTGATGTCTTCTGAAATCTTTCAGGTAAAGGTGATGCAGAGGTGCATTGTGTCTAAGTTAGATACGCAAGCATCAGGAGTAACGGATCAGAGGAGCCTGGCCAGAGTCTAGTCTGGATCTGTCAGTGCCACAGTACTCAGTCACTTGATAAGAAGGAGAAGGGGGTAAGGAACCACCGGGGGCCACGAATGGAGCTGTGATGGAAGGGCCACTCTTTTTGCAGAGTCAGCATTTTGAGACCAAGAAATGAAGGAAGACCTGGGCTCTGCTCTACCCGGACAGTCCCCATGGCGTAGCACAGCTCGAGTTTTTTGATCATAAAGGGTCAAGCTCTGGGCGTGGTCAAGGGAGCTCATGCCGCCTGGACTGCAAGGGGATCCATCTGGTGAAGTGTATGAGTGTGGCCCTCGTGGCCGTGCAGAGCCCCCCTGAACCCAGCACCACTGCCTTCCTCCTGGACACTGCACAGCGCTAGCACCTGCTGGTGGCCGATGCGCCGTCCAGTGCAGCCTGGGTGCAGACGCTGTGCTGAAACCCTTTTCCAAAAGGCAGATGGACTCTGGCGCCTGCTAATAACCCACTTAAGCTTTCTGCCCTGGAGATGCTAGAGAACTCCTTGTGCAGCCCCACCTGGGAAGGATCCCAATTCCGTGTAACGGTGCAGAGTACCGAGGCCACCGAGCACTGTGGCCTGCATGGCTCCTACGTGCTGAGGGTGGAGGGTGAGAGGCTGACTTTCAGATACTGGAGGCACTCCTCTTCTGGCCCTACACTCTGTTGTGTCACTATGGCCCGGACAAGGTCATGTTCCCTTTTGAGGCCAGCGCCGCTGCCCCTCGGGTCCTGGAAACTTCACCTTCCAGATGGCACAGGGAAATGACATCTTCCGGGCAGTTGAGACTGCCATCCACCAGCAGAAGGCCCAGGGAAAGGCCAGACAGGGGCACGATGTTCTCAGAGCTGACTCCCATGAAGGGGAGGTGGCAGAGGGGAAGTTGCCTTCCCCACCTGGCCCCCAAGAGCTCTTTGACAGCCCCCCAGCCCTGTATGCTGAGCCCTTAGACTCCCTGCGCATTGCTCCAGGCCCTTCCCAGGACTCCTTATACTCAGACCCCTTGGACAGCACCCCTGCTCGGACAGGAGAGGGAGTGCAATGGAGGAAGGCTCTCTACTGGGACTTGTATGAGCATGCGCAGCAGCAGTTGCTGAAGGCCAAGCTGACAGACCCCAAAGAAGATCCCATCTATCATGAATCCAAGGGCCTGGCCCCAGCCCTTCCACAGGGCCTTTATGATCTGCCTCAGGCGCCCAAAATGCGTGGGGGTACCAAGTTCAGGTAAAGGAAGAGGGCTACGAGCTCCCCTACAACCCTGCCACTGACAACTATGCTGTGCCATCCACCCAGACCACAAAGCCCCTCCCTGCTGCCAAGTCCCAGGGCCCGCCTTCTCTGAACCTAGTACTGCAACTGACAGTAGCAGCAAATGCCACAGCTGAGCCCTGTACAGCCAGTCCAGAAGAGCAGGGCCTCAGGGAGCTGGGACTGTGGGCTCTCTAGAGTAGGGACCGACAGGACTGGGGTCAAGTCAAAGGGTTCCACCTGAGAAGGAGAGCAAGGCTGAGGTTGCTGAGGAGGACCATGGGGAGGTGGCACTAGGGATCAAAGAAAATGGTTAGAACCGGCAGAAGCCAGAGGGTGGGAGGGGCCGTGCTGTGTGAGACCAGGGGACCAGAGGGGTGGGGGACCAGAGGGATGGAGGAGTCAAGGGAAGGACAGTCAATCCCAGGAAGTCCTAAGAAGTGGGGCAGATGGCAGGGCTGAGGGATGGGCTCTGCATCCCCCTAACGCCATCCCTTCCCCACTTCCCCAGAGGAAGGGACAGCTGAAGGAGCAGGTCTGTGGAAAGTGGAGCATGGTCAGAGTGGGTGCAGTTTGAAAGGCCTGCGTGGAGGCGTCAGGGAGATGCTGGACTGTGCCTGGATCCTTACCCCTCCATTGTTCTTTGACAGAGATGTATTTTTAAAATTTTAAATTCTTGGGCCAGGCACAGTGGCTCACGCCTGTTATCCCAGCACTTTGGGAGGCCATGGGAGATGGATCATGAGGTCAAGAGTTCGAGATCAGCTTGGCCAACATGGTGAAACCCCGTCTCTACTAAAAATACAAAAATTAGCTGGGTGAGGTGGTGGGCACCTGTAATCCCAGCTACTTGGGAGGCTAGGCAGGAGAACTGCCTGAACCCGGGAGGCGGAGATTGCAGTGAGCCAAGATCATGCCACTGCACTCCAGCTTGGGTGACAGAGTGAGACTCCGTCTCAAAAACAAAAAACAAAAAACAGGGAGAAGGAGTTCTGGTGATGGTGGTGGTGGTTAAATAGATGATTTAATGTGCCAGGAGGCACTATTCAAATACTTTAAATATTTTAATTTATCTAATCATTAAAATAAACTAAGTTAAATGGCATGGTGCCCTGTGCCTGTAGTCCTAGCTACTGAAGAGTCTGAGGCAGGAGGATCACTTGAGCTCAGGAGTTTGAGGCTGCAGTGATCATGCCACTGCAGTCCAGCCTGGGCAACAGAGTGAGACTCTGTCTCAAAAAATAAAAATAAATAAATGAGAGGTCTGGATCGTGGTATCTGAGAAAGCCAGAGCCAGGGTCTTAGGCAGCACTGGGACTCTGCCTCCCCTCTATCTCTGCTTGTCCCTGCATACAAGCTTCAGTTGCTCCCAGTGCTGGTCAGCTTCACTGGGGAAGGGATGTGGCCACCTGCAAATTCCTCAGATGAGGAAGGACTTTCTTCCAGACAGAGGTTGACCACAAGGGAAGTTTTCTGTCCCTGGGAAGAGGGGAAATGAAGAGGGCAGGATGATCCCTCTTCAGAGAGTGCAGAGTGGAGCCAGGGAATGGGGATTTCTTCCCTGGAAGCAAGAGCAGAATTCTCCAGTGCAAAGATTTCAGATTAGCCTAATTCATTCATTGGACAAACAGGTAAGAGAGGACCTATGACAGACAGAGTGATGGGCTAGGCACCACGGTAGGGCTGGGGAGTGAGTGAGAAACAAGAGGACATAGTTCTGCCCTGACCTTGCACTGTATTGCAAACACTTCAACAAGGTCATCTGAGTAACCAGAGAGGGAGGTACTACTACGGGACACTGCAGTGATGCCCAACCTAGTCTAGCGGCATCAAGGAAGGCTTCCAGGAAGTAGTGATATCTAAATTGAGATCCAATTGATAAATAGGAGTCAACCAGGTTTGAGTCTGTTTGATTTTGCTTATTTTACGTGGTAGGGCAGGGAATGAAGTGGGCATTCTAAGCAGAGAGAACAGATCTGAACCAAAAGATGAGAGTATGACGGCTGTAAAGAAAACCAAGACGAGGGGAAGGCAGGCTGGAGCGCTAGCGCCGAGGACATGGCGGGCCAGCAAGAGCTTGGACTTGATCATGAGGGCAATAGAGAGCCATAGGAGGGCCTTAGAGCAGTGGCCCCATCTGATCTCCCAATACTGAGACTCCCTGGGCTCCCTGTAGAGGATGTATTGAGAGGGAGAAGAACACCTCACACACCAGAAGGGAGAATTTTTTGAAGCCGTTGATCTGTCAGGTCTCAATCTCTACAAGTTTAGACCTAAAAAGTCATTTGAGAAAGACAAAATAACAAGTGTTGACAAGGATGCATTGAAATTGGAATGCTGGTGCATTGCTGGTGAGAGTGGAAAATGGAAAAGCCTCTATGGAAATCATTACAGCATTCCTTGAAAAATAAAAAGAGAATTACTATATGATCCAGCAATTCCACTTCTGGGTGTATATCAAAAAGAATTGAAAGCAGATACAAATATCTTAAACAGATATGTGTACACCCATGTTCACAGCAGCATTATTCACAACCACTAAAATGTGGAAGCAACCCAAATGTCCATGGATGGATGGATAGATAAGTAAAGGAGGTATATAAATGGAATGTAAGCCAAAAAGACAAATATTGGGCTGGGCATAGAGGCTCACACCTGTAATCCCAGCACACTGGGAGGCTGAGGCCGGAGGATCACTTGAGCCCAGAAGGTCAAGGCAGCAGTGAGCTATGATCCCACCACTGCACTACAGCCTGGGTGACAGAGTAAGACTACCTCACAAATAAATAAACAGACACTGTATGATTCCACTTATACAAGGTCCCTAGTCAAAGTAACAGAGACCAGCCAGCCTGGGCAACATAGTGCCCAGGGCAACAAAGACCCCCATCTCTACAAAAGATTAAAAATTAGTGAGGCATGGTGGTGTGCACGCGTAGTCCCAGCTACTCAGAAGGCTGAGGCAGGAGGATCGCTTGACCCCAGGAATTCAAAACTGCACCATGATCTGGCAGCTGTACTCCAGCTTGAGCGACAGAGTGAAAGTCTCTGTCTGAAAAACAAAAAAAAATCACAGCGACAGAAAGAAAGATGGTGGTTTGCAAGGGGGATGGGGAAATAGGAGGTGTTGTTTAATGGGTACCGAGGTTTGATTTTTACAGGATGCAAAGAGTTATGAAGATGGATGTATTAATATATAAATATGAATGTATTTAATACCACAGAACTATAGCTTAAAATGGCTAAGATGGTAAATTTTATGTAATGTGTATTTTGCGACAATAAAAAAAAATTTTGAAAGAAGGTAATTTGAGAAACATCGAAGAAATCCCCTGGCATGGAGTGGTTACAGAGATTAGGCATGGAGAGTCCTCTTGCGAGGCCCAGAAAGGATGGTGGGGAGGGATTACCTGAGGAGAGATGCATGTCCCTCTGTCCTGACAAACTTGGGGAGAATTCCAGGAGTCCTTCTATCAAGCCCCAAGGACTTCAGCTGGAAACAAAGACACGCCCTTCCCCGTGGCTTTTCCTTGAGTCTTGGACTCCCCATCTGCAGGACCTGCCAATATCGGTGCAGAAGGCTGGGGGCTGAGTAGACTGAGCTGCCGGACTCAGCTCAGGAGCAGCGGAGGAGTTCTCTGTTTCGTTCCCCTGGTGAGGATTCTGAATGGGTCCTGCTGTGCCGGAGCACGGAGAGCTGGTGACTGAATCTGCAGGGATGTCTGTAGCCAGGTGCAAACTGAGTCTAGGTGGTTTTCCTGGAGAAAAAAAAGGGGGTCTCTGGAGGACAGGGGTAAGAGACCGAAGAACAATAAAGAGTCCATGGGGCACGCTCTCTTCCTGACATCTATCACAAACACACCCTGTGCCCAAGGCCACGTGAGAGGGTCGCACACCGCAGATGGAGTTGAGGGAACTGGGGGAGGGAGAGGCGGGCGGGCCCTGAAGGTGCAGAGTCGTGTGGGCCTCGGGACAAGTCAGGGTAGAGGGACCTGGCTCCCACAACTTTCCCCCTCCGCAGCCCTTTAGGGGCTGCCCCCCAGAGCCTCCAGCAGCATCGCTGGGCCTCTTCTGTCCTCCAGTGCTCGTGTCTAAGCTCCCCAGGGGTGCTTTCTCTCCGCCCTCAGCCTCTGCTCCTGCTCTCGTGGCTGTCCCTGGCCCTGTCTCTCTCAGGCTGTCCCTGGGCATGTATGTGTCTGTCTCACGATTCCTGCCTCTGTTTTGTCTCATCCCTCTCCTATTCTCCGTAGCAATCCTGGTTGCCGTCCGTGTTTCATCCCGACCCCTTCTGTTTCCTTGCTTGCCTCACTCTTTCTCGTCCGCCTCTGTCCCTGTCTCCCCCAAGTCTCTCTCTTACCCTCGTCTCCTATCTCTGCCTTGTCCCCGCTCCATCCCGTCTCCCTCTGTGTACCTGTATCTCTTGCCCCTGTCTCCGTCACTGTTTCTGTCCCTTCCCTCCTGGTCTCTGCCTCCTCTGTCTACCCACGTCCCCTCCCTGTCCCCATCCCAGGCTCCATCTCTTCCCGGTCTCCATCCCCCTTTCTGGGCCGCCTCCGCAAGTCTCCGCCGGGTTGGGACCTCGCTAGGGGCGGGGCAGAGGGGCCGGATCGGAATAACTCGGTTATATCAGAGGGAATTGAATTAACTTCTTCACACAAGCGCTGCCAGGCCTGCCTCGCCTCCCTTTCGCGGGGCCGCAGGTGGGGAGGCCCGGGAAAGGGGTCGGGACCCTCAGGTCTCGGACTCTCTGTAGGGACCGACGGTCTGCTCCGGATTGGGGCAGGATAGGGACACCGGGGATAGGGTCCCGCGCATCCCCGCTCCACATATATAGAGCCCTAAGAGGGCGGCGGGGAACCTTCGGGGTGGGGGTCGGGGCGGCTGAGGGCGGGTTCTGGGCCGCCCAGGCCCCGCCCCCCGGAGCTCGCCCCGCCCCGCCCCCTCCGCGGGGTCCTGCGCGTTAAAAGGCGCGCGGGCCGGGCCGGCTGCACTTGCGTTGCACCCGGGCGGAGTGCGGCCGCGACGGGGCGGGCGGACTCTCGGGCGCTCAGAGCTAGCCTCGGGTCCTCGGAGCCTGGCGCTCGAACCTCCCTTCCGACATCCACCCGGACCCCGACCCCAACCCGGCCTGCCCCGGCCCCCGCCCCCGCCCCCCGGGCCGATGGACTACTCCTACCTCAATTCGTACGACTCGTGCGTGGCGGCCATGGAGGCGTCCGCCTACGGCGACTTTGGCGCCTGCAGCCAGCCCGGCGGCTTCCAATACAGCCCCCTGCGGCCCACCTTCCCCGCGGCAGGGCCGCCCTGCCCCGCACTCGGCTCCTCCAACTGCGCGCTTGGCGCTCTACGCGACCACCAGCCCGCGCCCTACTCGGCAGGTGAGCGCAGCCCCGGCCCAGCTCTCCCTCCAATTCCTGCAGAATCCCCGGGCCCGCTCGCCAAATAAATGGACTGTCCCCCTCAACCGCCCCCATTCCTCCCTTGGCCAGACCCTCCAATGCCCCGAGAGACCCCCAGAATACTAGGTTCCCCTCCGCAAGCATGAGCCTCACCCTTTCATCGCTCCTGCTTCTTTTTCTCGTTGCCAGATCTCTGTCTCGTACCCTTCAGGTGAAGGAAATAGATCCCCATCCACCTCTGGGCCCCTTGTTAGGCCTTCCCCTCCCCACCTG